GCTACGAATAAATATAATATTTTTTGTAATGTAGCGTTCGAATTATGTTTGAAATAAAATAGTCAATCGCGTTGAACTCTCCGAAATCGCCAACACAAACCACAGAAATAATATGTTTTCGTCATTGTAATCCGAACAAGCACGTGACCTCTGTCTTCGGTCTCTTATTTCCACACTAAGTGCAATGCGACCGGCCCAAACAGTTTTGCAACTTACGGGTGAAGGTAGCCGATGGTTATAATAATATTAAAGTTATTGAACACACATCATAATACATCATAATGGATTTCCGGTCGTCTTAGGCGGCATTCTACCGCAATCGTCACCGTATGTAAATACCACGACAAACGTGAAAAACAAATAACACGATCGCACGATAAAAATCAAACGTAAACTGACTATGCACATAGTTGTGTTCGATAAGTGACGATGTTGAGTTTTACGAGAACTCAAACTGCGGAAACGGATTTGGTAACTCCATGACACATCAGGTAATTTGTACCCGTCTTCCAAAGTACTTTATATGAATGATAAGATTTTTTTTGCGTTTATCACGTAAACTCATTACAAAATGTAATATACATTGTAATAATTATATTTACAGAGCTATCAGTATTAGTATAGTACGACGCAAAAACATACACCGTCATTTACATGTCATTACCTATGATTTACACCAGCATCCGAGCATGATTCATTTTGGATGTACCTCGTTCTTATTTGAACTTTTTTTTATTTTCCCATCTCTCCCCAAGTAGAAAAGGTGATATATTTTCTTTTAAATTAATTTACCATTAAAAATAACTGGAAGTTGATCGATGTTTTTTGAATAACTAAATATAACTGATGTGCATCTGAATCGAATAAAAATGTGTTGTACGTGTCAAATGCATAAGTTGCATACTTTTAAAATATTAAGTGTTCAAAAACATATATGTTTTTAAATTACTTATAACTTTTTTGTATAAAAATTATGAGCAGTTATCCAATTATTTTATAAATAATATTTTCATTTTTACATAACATTTGTATAAATTATGTATAAAATATTTATATTTACAAGATAACAATATAATATTATCGCACTTGCTGCATAGTATCTACGTATAATTGTGATTACTTACTTATTATCTGCGTAGCTACACATATAAAAGACAATAACAATAGCCATTATAGTAATTATCTGCAAGGTTTTAATATAGGATTTAAAATAGCTTTTAACATGATATTCAACAAAGTACTTGAATAAACTAATTATTAAACTATTACATCACTAATTGCACTAAAATAATACTAGATTCATAATACTAGATATTCTATTTTTAAACCATAATTTTGTTAATGTAATGGGTACCCACTATTTGAAAATGTTGGTTACCCGCAAAATCTAGTATTAACCGGATATACTGCTACCCGGGTACCAGGATATTATCCATATCAAAACAAGAGCACTATTATAGCATATTTATAGATACTATAATATTGTATGATAACATTACCTACAACACAAATCTGTCTTAAATTATTTTTATTTATAGTTAATAAATGTGATCTCATGTTTGCATGACTTTACCGTATAATTTTTGGCCATCCATTAACTCAACCTAGTAAAATATCCTGATGTCACCACTCCACCCGCCAGTTATTTCACTCGCCCAATAGTGGTGCTAACGATTGTGATGATGGTTGTTCAATCGATTGTTTCTATCATCCAATAGGTTTTTATTAATTTTAATCTATCCCCGATATCTGAAAATCGGAAAACAATGCACTTAGAACACTTTCTGATCAATGTAACTAACTGTAATTTAGGAAATTTTGAGTTCACATATAAGTATGACCAAAAGTGTTAACAGAAAAAAAATCTATTTTTTTGCTTTATTTAAAATCATAATAAATAAATAATCATAAAATTGCACAATTAGTTGTAATAATGTTTTTACTTTGTAAAACTTTGTTGGCGGTTTTTTCTTTTCGGAATTTTCATAGACAAAATAAATTATACAAATTATACCTAACATAATGATATAATGATATATAATATTGTATAGTAATACCATGTATGGCGCATTGCTATTATTATAAGTACAATATACCACGCGATTATAGTAGGTATTATATCCATAAAAAATATGAATAGATACCATTTATTGATCCATGTAATCTGTTGGAAGTCGAACAACTATATAAAAACTACCAAAATGTAATGGCAGAAAACCGCACCAACAAATTAATAAGTAATTAATTAATGATTTTCTCCCCATTTAACCGACTGTATGTATGATGGTGCCTTCACAATACTGTTTTAGATTAAAGCTGTATTAAACCGATATTACATAAAAGAAAATTGCAAAATAAAAAACATATCTACTAGTACAAATTCGTCGCGTTAACATACCTGTAATTTAATGTTTATACCATTGTTCGTAGTTTAACCAACTGCAAATTATTTGATATGATTATGAGGTACCTGTAAATTACATAAGATTTAACATTATACACATCGAACAAAATAATTATGGCAAAATTGATTTGCGTGCAACGGGACATAATAATAATACGATAATTCATATCTTTATCCGAAGAGGATGTTTCCTTAGATAGACCTCTCCCCACCAATTCTTCCATTAGCAATTGTTCTTCGAAAACTTCTTTCAAAATAGTACCTCATCGTATCCGAATAAATTCCTTCTAGACTTAAACATTCAACTCAAATTTATATAATTCTTAACTCAAGACGTCGCATTGGTGTAATATGCGCTGTGCACGTCAACGGAGTCACCGGATAAGGCTGCAGATAATAATTAAATATCATTCATCGTTAGATTAATTGTTTTTATTCATTTGATTGATTGAAAATTAAGAAGCATTGCTCAACGATTGGTACCTACGTCCTGTTTGCTTGTACTTACACAACTCATTATAATATTACCAGAATGATTGATCGGCGATCGTTTTGTAGGCTTAGAATACTGCACCTATTTATTTATAAGTATATAAGTAATTTTATGTATATATATTGTCAGCAAGCTAAAACTAAGCATTTATAAATAATTTATAATTATTGATCAATTATTCGTATTATTAATTATTAATTAATAGTATTTTCAAAAAAGCGTATTGAATATTGATGACACGTGACGTTTATACATAATACGTAATATACATTTATACAATTTTATAACTTAAAAAAACAAATTATAAGACATATTGTAGACGAAATTTTGGCGGAGACATTTTGATAAAATTATGTATTAAGAAATAAAGAATAAACACATCGTCAGTAATCACACCTCATTTATTCATAGTTTAAATTATTGAACCATTTATAGTCTATGATGGACAATTCATTGACAATAATTAAAAAAGAAACTTGTAGAAATTGCTTGAAATGTGTTATAGTCCATTTTATAAGCATAACATGTATAATAAAGTTTACAAAACCATATTTATTTTATCTATAACGCAAGTAGCTTGTAAACGAGTATTCTTAAAGTTAAAACAGGTAATACACATTATATTTAATAAAATAAACATAATATATGAGTTTGTTGCATTTGGAAACAATGAAAATGAATGCAACAATTCAAATTTTTCTTTTACTTGGTAAAAACCGTGAATAAGATGACATAAGACAATTAAAAAGCTTTTGCCTTAATGGCTACAGAAAAAAACAATTTTATGCAATACGAGTATACCGTGTCAAACTGTAATCGGCCGTTTAGCTTAAAGAATCAAAAATAAATAAATATAAAGAATACATTTTTAATTCCTTAATAAATAAAACATTAAATAAATGTTGCCATGTATTTATATTAAGTGTTGTAGTTCATGTTTTAAATATTTAACTGAAAAAATGTCTAGTGTTATAACATAAATTTTGAAATAATGCAATGGTTTCTGGGCTGATTTAAAAAAAAATTCTTGGACTACAATTAAGGATTCCACAATCCGCCTTTGTCTTGTTGATACTTAGAGGAGATCATACTAAAAATTTCTCTATAGTTATCTGAATAATTAAAATAAACTAAAACTGCAAAAAACTTCAACCGAGATACTCACTCAACACCGTCTAGTACTTTGATTACCCATTATTTATTTTGTTGTGTTTGTGTATACAATTTTAATCAATAAGATTGCTTCAGTTATTATTTTTTATTAAATCAAAGCTTTCAATTTTACAATGTTATACTACGATGCCATTTATTCATATCTATGTATCTCTAGATCGGTGATTCTCACTCGATCAAAGTATTTTTATGATTTTTTATAAAACTATTTCATTGAATAAAATTAGTTTGCCATACAATTATTATAAAGTTTTATAGGAATAAAAACGAGGAAAAGAATGTTAACACAAAATACAATACAAGACAAACATCATAACAAAATAACAATTGTATTCAATTATTAACAAAACAATAATATTATTATTTTAACATCACAAAAAAATTAACATTAATATTTATTACACAAAAAATTTAGGGTAGTAGAAGTTATGAAAATATAAAAAAAACTCCACGTTAGGAAGTGAAAATTATTGATTCTATATAAAAAAGAGAAAAGTCAGTAATAGAAAAATTTGTATATTATAATAAAAAGAGAAAAAAAGAGGAAAAACCCTGTGAAGGGAGAAAAAACCAAAAGATCACAAATCACTAAATAATATATTTTTTAGTAAAATAGTGATTTTAACATCGCAATAATATACATATAATTTCTACACAAAAAGATGTAATATAGAAGAAATTATGTAAATAGAAAAAAAGTATTATATTATAATAAAAAATAAAAGAGGGAAAAAAACCCCTGTGATGGGAGAAAAAAAACAAAAATCACAAATAACAAATAATAACTTTTATTCAGAGAACATGGTAGTTGAAAAAAATTAAAACCATGTAACAACAAATAAAAAAAATAACAATATTCAACACGGCTAAGGCAAAACAAATGAGTAAACATTACAAAAATTAAAAAAAAAAAATAATACAGGATCCCGACTATGCATACGATCTCTGGGGCAATACCGATTTTGGATCTAATACCACTTCGGATACCGTCGGTTCAACCAATTCACCACCCTCGCACGACCTTTGTATGTACAAAACAGCGTTTGATGAGTTCTTCCATTCCTCAACGCTGACGTGTTCAATTTCCACGTGCCCGAAACCCTGTTCTCTTGAAACTTCCACGGTCTGAGACATATGGATAGTTTTGGGCACGTGGGGCACGACGAGGGGGGCGATCTCTCCCGCTATCTTAAGAACACCGGCCAATCCGCCCTTCTGGCGGCTGCACAGGTCTTCTGTACTGAACCGGCGATTTGGGTACCACGCCAGGGCCGCCCACGGTGGCGAAGTGATCACCGCGTCAGCTTTCACTTTGGACAGCGCCTCGAAGCTGTCGCCGACCCGAAATTCAATTCGGTGGGCGACTTCGAGTTCAGCAGCCCTCTGACGGACCATCACTATTTTGACCGGGTCCTTGTCCACGGCGATCACCTTTCGGCACGTGTGTGCCAACCGAACGGCCATGCGACCGACGCCGCAAAACAGGTCGACGACCGTGCCGAAAGCGCACCTCCGGGCCACGTGCGCCAATACGTCCGGGCACGCGGACACCGAGAAGGTAGAGCTTTTCGGTCACCGGTCGTCGTTGGAACCGCCAAGCGGACCGTTTTCCGTCGGCGTCGGAGTACAGCGGTGTCGGAGGCTTACACGTGGACCGGTCGTGGTATGCCGTGGACACGGTGGTGTCGGGGAAGCTTAAAGTGGACACGGTGTCCACTGCAGCTCCACCGGCCATTACAGGGTGGTCGTCGGTCTGGGTGCGCGTCATGTCGTGGTCTCACGCGGTCTTCGGCTGTGGTTCCGTCATCGGGTTGTTCGTCATGGTACACGCTTCACTGGTGTCCGGCGGTCCGTCAGTTTGGATGCCAACGTTTGTGTACATGTTTGGTTCGACGTTCTTCCGTTCGATGGTAACATAGTCGTCACGTCGAATGAACCTTTCGAAAGGCTAAAGTCGAACACTGCAACAATATAATGGAAACACGAAAATGTTGTGCATTAGGTTTTGTTGGATTTTAAAGGACACAAATATGTGATATGCGTATCGTTCTAGGTATAACTGTAAACAGGCAACGGTTGTCGGTAATCGATCGGCCACGTTGACTTTTGATGATCGCGTTTTAATATGGTAACGAGGGACGTGTTCGGCAAGGAGAATCGATGTGATTCTACGATAAACGCGTTTATTGTTACTGATCAGTACATACTATTAACGTAGAAATCATTTCGGGCGACTGCAATTTCGATCGGGACGGTTGACAGGAAGTGTCAACGAGTTTTCACGACAAACTTTGGAAACACGGTTCATTTGTTAAGATACTAGGACTTACACTTAGATATTATTCAAATGTGGTTAGTCGGATACAAAATATTTGTTCATAACTATTAATTATTCGTTTAATTTTGTTCCGTTTTAATTCCATTAAAAATACCACAAGATATAATATTTAGACGGATCAGCGATTATACAAATATACGTGTTATTTGAATGCTTTAATTCGTATAAAATACTAATAATTTATTTAATTATGTACACCGTACAGTGTCTTGATGTATATTGTTTTGTCTAGTTGATGGTACACTAAGCGCGTTATTTTACGGACTTCTTAATATTTTTTTCAATAATTGCGAAAAACAACAAACAATTTATTTAAAAATGTACAACACACCGGTTTTCTTCAAAATCAAATTTTAGTTTTCACCGTAACTTGATAAATAACTTCAGAGACCAGAATAAATTTTCATTGAATACTTATATTACTGTTCACTATAATTGGTATAATTTTCAAAAGATTTCCAATTTTTTTGAGTTTTTCATAATGTTTTAAAATTGTCATATTTTCTAAGACTTTTTTTTTTTTGTAAAAATACATTAAAATATTTGGTTTTAGTTTAAAAAGGTCATTATTTTTAAATTAACGCCCAAAATAACTAATTTATAAAATTACTTTATCGTATGATTTAAGAAAAATGTATGAAACTGTATTACATTTTTTTTACCGATTGGATCATTTTGGAATGAATAGAGTATTTTATTACATAGTAAAGATATCTTAATATAGGTACACACTTGTAAAAACATTTGAAATTTGTTAGCCTTCCAATATATGCATGCACCGATTTGTACTTTTTAATACCAATTCTCCAAAGGTCATATATGAATATGCTTATTTTAATAAGTCGTTTTAAATCATCAACTATAGTTTTAAACTCAAATATACTGAACGAAACCTTTTTAATTATTCTCAGATTTATTTAAAAAGAATATGCATTTATTCATTTGAATTTGTAATTTATTTAAAAGTCATTTTTACAGAAAAACTGCAAAACATACGTCAAAAATACTTACTAAAAGCTCTTTTTACTATTTCCATTGCCTTTATACCCTTGATACATTTAAAGTGACCAATGCTATTTGTATCCGCTATGTTATAAAACTAAAAATAATTATAAAAAATAAAAAATGTTTCGAGACCTTGAGCTGTCAGTGATTTCTCGTGTATTAGTAGCTTTAAACTATAAATTAAGCAACATAAATTATTACCATAATTAATATTATAAAATGTTATCTATTTGTAATAAAATTTGTTAACAATCAACTAGGAATTTTCTCGAAGTAATGAAATAGCGGAGCAAATGTTGATCAATAATGAATACAGTATTTATTTTATAAACAACCGTGATCATAAAAATTCATAAAAATTAAAAAGTTTTAAGATTCGATCCAAAGGAATCCAGCTAAAAATGTAGAGCTCTCTAAATCAATGAGTATAATATACTGTAAGAGTAGATTATGTTAGGTTAAGTTCGTCTTTTAATTACAAATAATCTTTTTTTAAAAATAAATTGTTGATATCTACACACATTTATCGTTTATTACAGCAACAATGATAAATTAAATACATGTAAATAATTAGTTTTAATAAAAATGCTTGTAAATAATATACTTAGTATTTATACCAAATTCCTTTTTATCGACTATAACATATAACAACTAATACGTTGTTCGCAGGTTAATGGCTACGTCACGCTCTTATTTTTGATACAGTTTCGATAATTATTCGTATAATTGTAAAGAGTATATGAATTGCTACAAATAAACGCTGTATTAAAATTTTCCCATTTCATTATTTTTTTAACGTTCATCTAAAACCGAAAAATAAAATGTTAATTTTCCATGTCGCATTGAATATTATGAAAATAAAACGATAAAACTAATTTTCTTAAACGTAAAATTAAAATCTAAAGAAAATTATTTGATACACATTTAAAATTATTTGATATACATTGTTATTTTTTACTTCTTAAATTCATCTCAATTCTTTTGGTTCGTATTCATCGTTATTTTTAATGATCAACTATGAAACAAAAAGTCATCGTAAATCATTGTTTCACAGTTCTGTTATATGGAAACAATTTTTTTAAAACTGAAATGCAGTATAATGCAATAAATATTAATTTTAAATATATTTATACTTTTTTTTTACTAGACTCATAAACATTCCTAAGGAGCACTATTAGTACAATAAATAAATGCTATATTGTTCATTAATATACTTACAAATACAAAAATGAAACGTAATATAATCTTTAAAGAGAATACAGAGTGGAGAGTAGTTTTCTTTGATGGTGATCAGGCAGCAACACATGTCCATCACCCTCACTAAGAGTCAACCATTTGAAGAGCCATGTAGCTACACAATATTCGGCCGCCGAATATGTTTCTTTCTTTGAACAGAATACATTGGATCAAGATTTCTGCAACACAAACGAATAAATTAATCCCAATGATACGTTTATATACCTGATATATAAGTAATATATTATTTATTCCGTATGTAACATGCATTATAATTAATAATTTAATGAACTTTAAAAACTACTCGACAGATTATTTACAAATTTACATTCATAGTATTGATATTTTAAAATACGTTTAAGAGTACTATACTCCAAAAAAGTGCCCCAACCCAGTTTTAATTTCAATGAGTTGACCACTTAATTTATCGAACTAACTATATTTTGATGTTAAACGTAATAAATTATTTTATTTCAACTATATGGCTGCAATAGTACTACAAGAAATAATTTAAAATATTTCCAGAATACGTTTGTTTAAAATGTGGTCACTCAAATTATAAGTCTGCGGTGCAACAATCAACTGCCGGAACCACGTCGATTCGTTTGAAACACATCGTATTGTTGTGATCACGTAGCAAAACCCGGGAGACTTTAACGCTAGCAATAGAGTTGTCTAAATCGGGAATATCCCAGGATGGTCATGCGTATACACCGCACAGTCTTCGATCGATTGTAAATCTTTTTTTTTCCGTCATCCTCGACCGTCACATTTTATTGGTGCTAAAGCGTATAACTATACACTCGGAGACCTTCTTTCTCATCACGATGCGTTGTTGACATTACTTGTATTTGATATTATATTAATGCAAAACAATCGCCATACAAACATCGAAAATGTTCAAAACTAGGAATTCGAGTATCCGCGTACACTAACAATAACAAATATAGTACTATAGGTACTTGAAATACTTGAACTACCTATCAAGATTCATTGAAGTATCTCAAATATAATATTTTGGTATTGACAATACTAATTTAACTAAATACTTTCGATTACAATTTCTTTTTCTTTTTTTTTTTTATAACTGCGTGATTATCATTATGTACAAATGGTATGATATACATTTATAAAATAAAACAAAATATTATAGTTAAATTATTAATCTTAAACTTACTTTTTTATTTACAATCTATAAATATATATACAAATGACGAGTACCAAAGAGGCACGACGCAAACGTGTTAAAAAAAAACTTCAATCGGCCAATCAAATCACGTCAATAAACAGTTTTAAAAATCAGGACAAGAGAGAGACAAACGTGTACAAGTATCTCGAGAACAGCGTGATAAACGTCTGCGACAGTAATATCGCGTTATAATGTTGTCGCTAAAATAATGATAGCGCGTGAACAGTACATAACCTTACAGTACAACTTAAAACGCGTATATTTCATTCATCAAATATTCTCCGACGAGCACTTAAACCACCAAAAACGACACTAATTAAATTTTTCAAATTTGGTCAAAAAACTGATATTTTCGGTCTGTTTGCACAAACATTATGGAATTCCGATGCTCCACGTTATTATAAATGGAAAAAAAGGTCATCTAAAATATTACCAGAAATGTTCTTAAGACAACCATTTTAAGTGGAAAGTTTAAAGAAGAAATCTCTATTGCCCCGTATTTCATAGATACCGTCAGAATCACTTCCATTAAAATTAAAAAAGCCTTAATTTCCTATCCTATTCGTTTGGCTTTCACGATGACCACATATAAATCTCATGGCCAAACAATGTACATTTGCAGTAAAAATCTAATGAAGAAATGTTTGTCCTATAGGCATTTATATATTGGATGCACGTATTGGGAACCATCGAATC